TCCCATAATACGACAAAACGGCCATTCAGTGCTTCCAAGTTTTCCATGGTGGTCTAGCTTTAATTGACTCATGAGTTCAACCATTAAATTATTTATATTAGTAGTGTATTCGTTTTCGTTTTCAAAGTTAATTAAAATCAACATTCCATAACTCCTTGGAGAACGAAATAGAAATATATTTATCAACAAAGTCAATTTCTCTTATAAACTGATGTCAACTAAACATTTACTACTTAGTTAATAGATTAATGAATTATTTTATTTAGATTTTCATTCCTACCCCTATTTATACTTTTGTTTATAGTTACTTCAGAATAACCAACATAATGAAACATTGATTTTCATTTTCAATTATAAGTCCATTTTATGGAGCATTTCATACTTTGGTTAATAATAATTGCATTGCAATAGAAGAAAACAGCTCCGATTACAAATACTACACAGTTGTTTCACTTAATCAAAAAACGTGCTCTAAAATCTCATCTGTTAGTGAAAGAACAGGAAAGTTGTTGACTTCCAAATGGCGGGGGCGGAAGTGATAGGCAGAACACTTCAGAAGACAGCACGGATGACATTTAGCTGCTCTTCATTTACTCATTATTCTTCCAACAACTGGAATGGCAAATTGCTATAAACCCTTGAATAACAACACACTTAAAATATTATAACGGATTTAAGCAGCTTGAATAAATGGACTAACTCTAGATGTTTCTGAGGATAGCGATCTAACGCTTTCGTTAATATTGACCGATCCACTAGTGGCTGCAAAAAATCTCAGGTGAATGGTAATACTCTGAAGCATCGGTATATTCACTGATAAACGACTATAATTGTATTCCTTGACGCTAAAATGACATCAAACTTTGGTAACTGACAAGTCTTTCGATAATATTTATCACTCAAAGGTAAACCATGTAAGTTAATTTTTTGAGGGGGCTTTCGTCGAGCACTATAAGATAAATTAGAAGTGATGATAGGATTTTCCAAATTTTTTTACTTCCATCATAGATATGCTGCTAGTAACAACACGTTTTGATTTTTAAAGAATGACCTTCTTTCTGTCGAAATACTCGTTGACTTATAGTTAAAAGATGACAAAGTGCTCTTTGGAGGATAGTTTGACAAAACTCAGGGTATTCTGAAAACTTCGAGTAATGAAACAAAAATGTTTTGGACGGGACTTGTTTACTCTAAATCCAAAATGTATCCTCTGTATAGGTCCTCATCAATGCATTTTAACTTTTATGTTAATCTCATAAAAAACATTATTAAAGTTCTGGAAATAATCGACAATCAATTTATTATAAGTTAATTACTAACATTAAGTAACGTCATTTTTACAGCAATTAAAAAGCAAGGAGGTTGACGCAATGGTTTTGTTCTAGTTTGAGACTAATCAGCAATGAGAACTTAGAATTTGAAGATAGGCTAAACCCTGGATCTCTAGATCTTGCAGTGGACCAGCAGCACTGAATAAGGGTCCGAAGTCAACATTTTACGTGGTGATTCCCGTGTGTCTGTGTGGAATTTAGTTAAGAGTTTGCAGTCATTACAGGGCAACAAATTGCAAAATTGATGAATATGTTTAAAAAGAGAAGAAGGATGTTGTGGAAGAAAACATGACATGAAAGCTAGCAATAACGGCGTTAGCTAATAGTTGGTTGTTTAGCACTCCACATCTATAAGTAAACATCTATTGACGATGAGGGTTTGGGGTGAACAAAAAAGTACATACAGCACCACTTACTCAAAACTTTACTAAAGAGAGAGTTTATGTTGATGAGTCAATCACAGCTGTCTATTAATTTATTACTCATACTATAAATATACCAATCATTTCGAAGTATTATCCCATAAGTTTCTTATCGAAAAAATAAAATAATTAGCAATGTTAAAGGAATGGAAATACAGGACATTATACAATGACCATAACTCTTCCAGGGGTACGCAATGTCAAGTCGTTTATACTAGTAACCACTTTGTGATTTGATCGATAGGATTTGATCAGGACTAAGAAGGACGTGCCAAACATTAGTTAAGTCGCTACTCAGTGATCGATCAATTATAGAGCTATTTTACTCCATCCATATTCTCGTTCATCAGATCTCTTATATACTTGAGAATAAAAATAATTGATGAAACGCCGTAAGTCTACTTATACTTTTACACAAAATTATAACGAATATAATCATTAACTTTAGGAACTAGAATAGGATTTTCTAATTTGTGGTGTTCATTTAACTACACAAACAAATCTCAACCCATTCTCTCCGAGAAATTCTCTGTGCATCTTTTGAGTAACCATTTAATTGGTTCACATTTACTAACCATTTAATTTTAAGAACACTTATCACAAATATGAAAATTATCACTGGCTTATAAATTGCTAAGCAGAAAAGCATCGAGTAATTATTTCGGTTGTGTTTTTTATTCAACTTAATGACATTGGCTTAAGAACCCTAATGAGCAAATGAGTACTACAAATGATTTGTTCTTTTTTAGGACTTATGAATTTTGTCCATATATCATCTTTATGGTCGTTGCTTCTGCATGATAACCACGTTCCCAACAAACATCTCAATCAACATCCGGTGGACCAGATTTCCAAAGCAAATTCCTGAACTCAACTTTGTGTGGATTAGTGAGTTAGACTTGATGAGGAACCTGAGACAAGCAAAAAATAACTAGTCAGAAACTCTTGATTTTTTGATAAAACTTCGGTTAAAGCCAGTTAATTATGGTAATTATTATATTTTTTTTAACGAGTGGGAGACTCATTCTAATTTTTGGGCATATCATTTCAACCACTCCTTTCTGTTGTACGCCTATAAGTCATGAGCGAGGTTAAAAAAATATGAGACAAGTTAACCAAATTATCTCAACTATCTTGTCACACAGATATTCGCCCTTGTCGATTACCCATAAGTAATATTGACCAATTTTTTGTAAATATGTGCATAATAGAATGTATAGTCTATTCCCTTCCTGTTTCTTGCATAATCAATACAAAGTAAGTCCCCTAGTTATGCGGTATGTAGTTTGTGTAAAGGTCCTTCAAGATTTCTAGCTACCAGAAGGATTTTATGAATAGATGAACAGGTAAACAATATATGGGGTAAGAATAATTTTTATTGAGAATATCAAATTTGTTCACTAGAACCTAGTATTTCTAAATTGCTTGGTTAAAAGATGACATAATAAGGCTCCGAAAATCAATATCTTGGGCAGCTTAACACATTCATATAAATAGAACGATGACAATTTCCCATGTACATTATCGACGAAAGTTTTAGTAGACGGAAATCTGATAGGCAGAGATGATTATCTTATCACGGTGATAGAAGGTAAACAGGTTGAATTAAATTAATTCATAAATATGTTCAAGCCACATAATTACTTTAAGGATATTGTAAAAATGGTAGTCAAGATTTAGCAAAATTGAATTAAAAACATTGTAATTATCCTGTGCTATGAGGAATTATCGATCTGGAGGATTCTAAATAAATACCACCCATTAGTGAAAGTTATACTGAAGAATGAACTAAAATAGATATTGGCTTTGTTAAACTTGTGTTTTCAAATACAAAATAATAAAATAAGAAATTAAATAGTTCCGTAAGCCAATTTTACATTGAAAATTAAATTTCAGACGAATTATATGCATGGATGCATTTATTGTATAGTCACCTATGATACCTCATAGATAGTAATTGTACCACTGATATTTGTTGCATCTGTCACGTATTATTTCTGCTTATACAATTAGACCAGTATAACTGTGATAGAATGAACGTGAACAGAGTGGCGAATAACAGTCTTATATATACATAAAATAATTGATACATAATAATAAACATGATGCAAAACTGTTTGAAACGTAAACAGCTTTAGAGTAAGAGTTTCTGTAGGTTATTTAATAAAACAGTAACTTTACGGGTATTTTCGTTAACTTCATTTTAGACAGTCACATCTATTTTCATGTATAGAGTTGAGAACTAAGAGATCATTTTCATCATTAGAAGGTATTTGACAAATTCTTTGGTCTGTCCTATAACTTTTTATCAACAAATCAATTCTCTGTCTTTCTGAATTGAATTAAATTCTACAAAAAATGGCTAAAGTGATATAATATTTTAAATCCTGAATTTTCTTATCAGATTTTTTATCCATAAGTTGGGTACTGAACGGGTTGCTAACCTAAAATATCATGGTTTCTAAATATAAAGTGGTGTAATTAAAAGCTCGCCTGTGCACAAATGAATGGATATAAATACTTAGTTTTATATAGATCAGTTATTACCCAAAGAAATCAAACAAGTGTTAAGGTGATGTCAGTGGAAAACTAAAGCATTCAAGGAACAATTTTATCAGTCTTTATGCAATGTAACAGACTAATAGTGGCTAAAGACATTTATAGAAGGTTTGTGTGAGGTATACACTAAAGCATTTCCACATACTTAGTTGTAGTGATTATCATTGTTCCTAAGACTATCTGCTTAAAATACTAAATGTCTATTTGTATACATCCACATGGGTGGTTATGACACGTGCTACTTATCTCTTAAAACCACCTAGCCCTACCCCAAATCCATTCTGCAATCTTAATTTCTCCAATGGAACTGTATCATCACTCCTATTTCCATTAATTCCCTTCCATTATGTTCTAGTTTGGAGAATAACAACGTGTACTAATACAGATTGTTACCAGGTTTTACGATAATGATGATTGACTTCTCTCGGTTAGCTGAAGTTTGAACTTCATTTGTATCCTTAACAGATTTTCGTTTAAAGATCATCAGTTCACATAGATATGAACATTTTTGTTCATGGAACGGAGATAAAACGATATTATCCTGGAATCATGGACACACCAATAAATTTTGTCATTCGTTTGAATTAGAAAGTTGTTTAATGTTTTCAAATTTTCTAGATAATCAATTTAAAACTGAAATATCAACATTTTATCATATTTATTTATTCAAAAAATATGCATTTGTTATATATGTAGTGTATTGTTGAGTTTTCTAATAGAAACTGCATTTTTATTTATATTACTTTATGACATTTTAATAGACGTTTTAATGCACGACGAAATTTACGTGACATAGCATTGTACAAAATTGGATTGACAGCTGAATTTAAGAATGCCATAATACGTGAAAACATGCGAAACCATAGATCATGATATCCATGAAGTGAAAAACTATTGTATACAACCATTGAGCGGTATGGTAACCAGAAGGATGCAAATAACACTACAATAATCATTAACAATTTTACTACCTAAAATAAAGAAAAAAAGGTAAAATGTCTTGATTTTAAAATACAGGGAAAGCATATATAAGCATGACATGAAAATTACGGGACATGAGTAGGATAAAGGAAGAACACCGAAAGAGTTATTATGTTGTTCAATAATAGGATAATAATAATAATAAAAGTAGTAACATGAAAATTTACGTTTTTATATTAGATAGTTACAGAAAATTGGCGGCAATCCCTTAAGTCAGGTAGTTGGGTCAACATTGGGGCACTATCGACCCAATTTATTCAGGACCAAGACCAATACATGAGATTACCGAATACTCGGTAGTCAGTCAGTGTAAACTAACGCTTTATATATTTTACTCATTTACAACAAAAAGTTTCAAGTACCTCAACTGTTTTGTTGATAACCATCTTCTGGTGATTCAAATTTTTTAATGCTCGATTTATATAATTTGCAATAAATAATCATGTTCAAGGAATCTTTCTGCAAACTAAATCAAGGATGAAACGGTCGTTCAATGCTCTCAGGTTTTCAATGATGATCTAACATTGATCACTTCATAATTTCAATCAAAACTCAATGGTCTTCACAGTCTAAATTTGTCATTATCATCCTTGCGTCCACAGAAAATTATCTATGAGTAGCCTATGTTTTCCAAAAAACTTTCAAACAGTAATCACAAGCTCGAGATCAACCTTTTAGTAACCTAACACTTTTGAATGAAATTTTAAACATTAAAACTCAACATTTCGACTGCAGTTTGGCCATAAAATCTTTGAAATATAACGTAGCAGACATTAATCACTCATATGTAACAATACGCTTCTTTGTATTTATACGTTAAGTTTGTTATACTTATATGAACAGAAGTAGTTAAGATAGCTTATTTAATCACTTTAATGTCTAAATTTCGTTATCGGGAAACGGGAATAAAATAGCCGTAGGCTTATTGTTTTTATCCCATTTTACTGTTCTAATAGGTAATAAAATAGTTTCTCCACACGTAAATATCACATTCCTATATGTAAATGTGAGGAAACGTTTATTTTGATTACAAAATCTATAAGAGGTTTGTGGCTAAACATAATTTCTTTTTATATAAAACTTTACAGTTCTAATGAAATATTCTTTGGGTCTTTATCGAAATGATAAAAATTTTCAATGTATTGAATAAAATGTTTAATTATTTAAAATCAGAAGTTATTCTTTATATATGTGGCAGTGAACTATCTAAGAAATGAAATGACACTTCGATGAAGAGAGGGTAATCAGAAAGCATTAAGGACTAGATAAACTCGAGAGTAGATACCAACTAATAATTAGTTGGTATTATAATCGTCACCCTACAGAAAATCAATCATGCCCAGAATTAATTACACAAGTTCTACTGACCTTAATAGCATCATTTTGATCAAGGTTGTAGAAACATCTTGCTGACTAGTGTCAATTATCACTGAATTTATATCCAAAACTTTTTGTTGAGAGCTTCTAGCACAATAAGCCCATAGATTTATATATTATTCAAAATTAGACAAGTTATTTGATTTGACAGATAACGCTCTCATGGGAATGTTCATGGAAAGAGTATACCAACAAATCACTTAGATTTATTCGGGCGAATTCTGAATTATTCCGAAAAACATAAAATTAAAAAGTATTGAAGTGTGAAAAAGTCATATAGCATTCGCCTAATGAACAAATGCTCAGCTTCTTGATCTTCTCTTTCTCTTCTTTAACGCTACAACAGAACATGTTCACAAATAAGAACCAAGGAAACGTACACAACACAGCTAGCTCCATTGTAACAACGCATTAGGTCAAAATGATGTTGCTTCCCCAATTTGATAAATATAACCTTTTTTACTTAAGCTTTCTATCCGATTTTAAAACATTTTTTCCGGCAAATTCATATTTACTTAAAATATCACCGTTTTCTTCCACTCTTGCTTACATAAAGCATCAGAACAGATTAATCTGTAAACGAAAAAAGTAACAACACAGTCCCTGTATTCATCACGTTATGAGCAATTTTCTGATAGTTCGCCATCTCGCTTAAAAAAGAATAACAAATCTGTTGCTTAGGGAAAGTAATTTCTTGTTCCTTTTTGTTCTTTATTCTACTTCAATATTTTAAGTTTATTATCCCTTTTTGTGGATGGTTTCTCTTTGTTTACAATTTGAACATAAATACGTATATCAAAGCAGTAAGTATATAATTGAGATCATGAACCGATCAATGTTAGATCATCATTGAAAACCTGAGAGCATTGAACGACCGTTTCATCCTTGATTTAGTTTGCAGAAAGATTCCTTGAACATGATTATTTATTGCAAATTATATAAATCGAGCATTAAAAAGTTTGAATCACCAGAAGATGGTTATCAACAAAACAGTTGAGGTACTTGAAACTTTTTGTTGTAAATGAGTAAAATATGCAAAGCGTTAGTTTACGTTGATTGGTCACTGAACCCGTCAGCAGTGCACTGACACGATCCTGCACGCCGAGTTCAAATGCAGAACCTTCAGTTTTGTTTGCATATATCTAACCTCTAGATGACGAAGAAATATTTGAGATACCATTAATTTCTAAATATGGTGTATCTTGTTCAAACTACCATATTATATTTGTTGAAAGACTCAAAAATCTTCCTACACGATATCTTGCATCGTCGTATTTAACTAATATGATGAATAATGGATGGTGTTTGCGCACATGTATTAGTAAAAATAATGTAATCTCCAAGTTATTTGAAACAGATCAATCACAGGGAAATTAGTTGTCTTATAATAATGACATGGTTATTAGTGAGTACTAAGTATAGATTAAGGTACTAAATACTGAGGTATCCACCTTGGTTGAAGTTTGTTGATTTTCACTTGGTTGTTTCAATTACTAAGCCATGAAATATCGAGTCACATCACTAATCAGTTAATATAACAATGTTGACTTTGCGAACATTGTATTATTGTCTATATTGTTTGGTGTTGATACACTACATAATTAAATGATCATTTCTTCCACTATATATTGGTTTATCGCCTCCTCATTGACCGTGATACTGGAATTGTGAACTGAGACCACAAATTGTTGGTGAAATTGACAAGTAAACTGATAAGAGAGAATTACATCACAGTATCCCGATTACTTTAAATTGATATTCCATGAAAACTATTTTCTATATGAATTGATTTCAATTCATCGATTGGTAGTCATATAGTTTAAAAAGCCTTCACCAATACTCAATTGTTATAGAGGAAGATTATTGTATATGACAATGTATTGCCCTCAGAATACATCAAACAGGATGCTTGAAAGGCGAATTATATTAACTTTATGATAAAATAAGATGATTATGAACATGATCAAATTCATATAAAACAAATGCCAATAAACTCTGAAGAATTTTTGTAGGTCTCCTATTGATCAGTTGAATTATTACCTGATTATTGACCTATTCTATTTAAATCCTTATAATAAAGGTTTAGATCAGAATTCAAGAATAAATATCAGACAGTGTAGTATCAATCGTTTTACTAGCAGGTCAATTTAATCGAATGTATGAATGAATGTAACGTGGAAATTCTAAAATTTATTTGTCTAACATTATGGGTAGATTAGTTTTATTGGATTGCACATTTTTCATTTTAAAGCGATTTCTTAAATCTTTTCTTTTGTATATTACTGAGGAAAACAGATTGGTTGAGGTAATCAAATACGATTAATCAAGCCACTTCATCTTCCCTACGAAACTGCAAAGGTTCAACCGTATTATGAATGGGAGAGGCATTCCAGAAAGCGAAAACAGATCACCACGCTGTATCTTTACTGAAGATGTAAATGAAAACCATTGTCTTCATACTCAATAATATCAACTTTGCCGTGGTCATTACAGAAAAGTTAAAAAAAGAATTCATTTAATCTTGTATTTTATGTATCGAAAGGCCACAAGTTCGGATGAAAACGTTAACGCTGATCTATGCGGAAACAAGTATTCAAACCGTACTTAGCTTCACGAAAACTCAACTGAACAAATCTAGGTCATGTTTTTATCCAATCCACAGTTTATCTATTTGTAAATCTGTATTGTCAATATAAGCTTATTAAATCCCGGTTAAATCTTTTAAATTTGAATAATTAAATTCTTATATACACGAAAAATAATCGATTTTCAATTTGTGTAAAAATTACTTCTGGCCTAGTTATTACAAAAGGCTTCATTCCAATTCCTTACTTACTTACACCTTTTACCTCTCGTAGAGAGGGAGGGCATTGACCGCCCACCAGCATTCACATAAAATCAAAAAATATATTTCAAAACGATTAGGCTTTCATAAATATAATACCAAGTAATTTATGTTTAGGTTTATAGTATACTATTTAAAAGTATTTCATTTAGAATCTCCAATGTAAACATGGTTAAACGTCTTATGAATAAATAAATTAAATAACAACCCAAAAGTTTACTTTATTGATAACCAATTTTCAAGCAATTAACTAAATTAACACTGATTCCCAATTTCCAATATAACAGAGATGTGACTACTCTTCAAAAACAAAAAAAATTAAAAGAAAAACGAAAAGAAAGAGAAAAAAGGAAAACATGTTTTAGTCAAAAACTAGATATTGACTAATTTCTGTGTTTACTTATTATTTTTGTATTAACCAATGAAACATTTGTACACCACTAAATTCATTAATGATTATAAACTTTATAGAAAATGATTTTTATTATTATAGAACTATACATATATATGTAGTAGTATCCAAAAATTGAAACATGTTTCTTTTTTCCTCTTTATTTTTCCATTTATTTGTCTTTGTTATTTTTTATAAACCAAATTGTTTCTCTCCTCCATTTTAACCTATTTTAACAAGTTTTATCTACTTTTCTTATTGACTACTAGTAGGTGTATCATGATGGTTACAATTTTACCAATTACATTTCATAAAACAACAACAACAACAACAGATTGATGTGTACATGTAGGATTAACCTATAAATTAAGAAAAAA